TGAACTCCTGCATTTCAAGACGCACCGGAACCAAAGATCCGATATTCTGATACAAGCCTCCTGCTGAACCCGCAACTCCCAAAGTTCTGACACAATCTCAACATCCTCCACAATGCATCCTGTGTAATAGAGGGACATAGCGGATTTTACCGACGATTTCGCATCCTAAACCCCCAAGCCTGATGCCGAAACCCTAAACCCATTCCAGGGCCTCTTGGGTTCCTGACTGCCACGGTCTGAGGATCCTCTTTCAGGCTCCCAACGCGAAACCTTAAACTCCCTAAAACCTAAACCCCAAAACCCCCAATCTGCAAACGTCAATAATTATCCAAAATCCTCAGACCCAAAGCGCTAAACCGTGTACGAAAACAACATCCTAATGTAAACCCTGAACCCCGAAACCCCTCAGCCTTAGCCCGAAAACCTATACCCCACAATCCCAAGTCCTGAACCCAGGGTCTGCGACTCTGTGGAAAGATCCAGCGGCATCTACGCACAAGGCCACACCGGGATCGGGGGAGTGGGCTTTCGGGATTTTGGGGTTCGGAGACCTTGCAGGAGGAGTTTCGGGGCTTGCGGGGTATTGTATACTCAAACGGTTTAGGATCCTGGCCGGGCCTGGTACCATGACTGCCCTTCCCGAAAATACGCTCCTTAAGGATCCACATAATTAAACCGGAAAGAACCGTAAAACAAAAAACTTTCTTCTATGCCTCAGGCTTCGTGGACAGTCGTTGTTGGGTTGATTGTGTGCGGTTTCTGTCAACTTAATGCTTGCCGCGGCTTTGCTGCCTCGCTTGCCGAAACCTGTACAAGCAGAGCGCCAGCATGGCTCGTGCAAACGGGGCCCAGCAAGACGAAGGCCGGGCCAAGGAATTTGCCAAGACAAGACGCGGGACACCGGGATAAAGTGCGGACACAGCTCAAGAGAAGAAGACTGGGGAGTCAAAGCACGGCGAAGCAGAAGAAGCGTGCACGAAGCCCCACGATGCCGCCTTCAGAGCACCCGGCCAGACCACGTCGCTCCCGAACCCCAAGTATGTCGTCCTCATAGAGCGCAGATCTGGGCGCTGTGATAGGCACCGGCAAGCTCTGAACCATAAACTTACCATAACTTACCCGTACCCATGGAGGCGTGGCACTGAAAGCACCAGCCCCGACATCTTCCCCGCCGCGGAAAGCCAAACATTGTAAACCCCTATGACTCAAAGCCTGGTTTTGGGCAGGGGGCAAGAGTTGAAATTTGTCTGTTGTGCAAGTGAATGTGTTCAAAACAACAGGAGAGGTGTGAACTTGGCTTTCGATGTATTCGGCGATGCAGCTGCTTACTTTTGCCATCATGCAAGTCTGAGCAGCACAGAACCATTTCACGTTTTGATCCCGTAAACCGCAAAGCGAAAGCCCATAAAACCCTAAGCGGGAACCCGGCAGCAAGCAGCCAACATCCCGACTCCTTGAATCCCCAATTCTAGACCAATCTAAAGCCAGAACCGGGCTTCACAAGATCCGACCAAAATGCTCTGGAAAACGAATTGAAGGCCATCAAAATCGCATAGAGATCCGCGTATTACCTGCCAGAACCCTTTGAAGCTGCCGTCAAGACCGGTAAGGCCCTCTGACGCTACATGTGAGAACCTATACCAGCAAGACGGGTCGCTTGTCATAGTACATAGTAGTAACGAGAAGAATAACGGACAGAAGTAGAGTCTTATAAGCGTATGTAATAGAAACCACCGTGTCTAGCCGGGTCGAGGATGTGTGGTCATGCCGAGCCTTGCAACTGGATCCTTGGCTTCACACACTTCCGCGGCTTGGGAGTCAGAGGGCTTCGGATCTTAAGGTTTGTTGTCTTAGCGGTACGATTCTCCGTAAACCCCATACCCTGAACCCTACGATTCTCGGATGTCGGGGGTTGGCATGCAGGGTGAGCAGCTAGTTGCATACTCCGGAAGCGGCGACTCTTCGGCTCTTCGGTTTCGAGTGCAGAATTGAGTGTTTATAGGGCTTTCGGATGCGAGCATGTCGAACACTGCAAGCATCCAAGTTTGTTCGGTGTCAGTAGGGACTTTTGGACTTGAGCCGCATGATTCAAGTGATCACTTCAGTGTTGCTGTATGGTTGTAGATGCATCGACATCCGCGTGTCTTTTTCGAATTCAAGTTGCACGTAATCGTATATCACCTGCTCAGCTAACCTGCAATCGATACGGGCTTAACCTTTTTAATGTTTCTTGACCTCACTTTGGGCAGTTCGGGTACTGCAGCTCCAAGGCATATTCGGCTACCAACCTCAAGACAGCTGCCGTGCTCTGGTGGAGGAGGCACGTGTGGTTGTAGCGAAGGGTTCTTGGATGATGTCGGTGAGGTGTGATGCTTTGGGAACGACTGGGCGCTGGGATTTGAGTCACAATAGCTTCATGAAGAGGCTCTGGAGTGCAGGGTTGAAGGGATTATGCACAGTGCGCAGCTGGTTTGCTTGAGGCATGTAGTGGCGTGTAGACGAACACTAAGCAGACAACGGAACACACCGCATTAGCAAACTCACATGGGTGGTTGTCAAAATTATGGTCCCTTGTTGGGTCCCCATTATAGTACGGCACCGAATTCTCAGGGTGCCCAAAAAGGGACCGTAATTTTGACAACCACCCATATATAAAGAAACGCGAGCATCAAGGCAACCTTCGACCCCAGACCCTAGACTCGAAACAACCCCTAACCACTACACCCTAAAACCCGAAGCCTAAACCCTATAAACTCCAAAGCCCAAGCCCTAAACCCCAAACCCCAAGCCGCAAGCCCTAAGCCCAAAGTTAGTCTCAGGCTTTCGAGGTCCTCTTGCAACTGGAAGCATCGGAGCCGAACTACAGGCCGAAAACTATGGGCAGCAGATTCATGCTCTAGGGTTTATAGGGTTTAAGGGCTGCGGGTTTAGGGTTTATAGGGTTTGGGGTTTAGGGGGGCTTACGGTTTATAAGTTTAGGGATTGGGAGGGGTCTGGTGCTACAGCCTTTCTGAGAGGGTGCATGGGTCGCCGATGATGATGTAGGTTGCTTGGTGATGCTTCTACAGGTTTAGAGGGTTTAGGGTACCATCCCCTCGACAGCCGTGGAACCCGCCAAACTCTATAGCCCCAAACCCTATATAAACCCTAAACCTAAACCCTAAGCCTAAGGCCCTAAAAGCCCAAACCCTAAGCCTAAACCCCCAAAGCCCAAACCCTAAGCCTGAAGCCCTAAAGCCCAAACCCTAAGCCTAAACTAAGCCAGAAGCCCGCTCTGCTGTTCAGTTTACATCGGATCTGCTTCGTTGAAGCCAACCGCGACGTCGCCGATTCTTTCTCAACAGCGCTGACAGAGGCACGCGACTGCGTGTGCCGAGGGTTTAGGGCTTAGGGCGAAGGCTACAGGAATTAGTGTCCTCAGATTCCTCGATGCTTTTCTTCACCTATTCGGCGTGTGTCGCTGCGATGACAAACCTAGGTGTGTTGGTTGCACTTGGTCCATCTTCGTTCAACAATCCAAATCGTGCTGCCTTCCCATACCCATCCTGAATTCCTACCCCCCATGGCAGATGAGATTCCAAGACAGGGTGCCCTAGATGACCTACATACGGAGTTTTCAGGACTAAAATCAATTTTATTCCAGAACTCTAGTCTAAACCCTAAATCCCAGAAGCACTCACCCCTAAACCTTGCAACCCTTCTTCCAAAACCCTCAACACTGTGCCTCTCATATGCCGTCGACCTAAACCCTAAACGCTGTGGCGAGGTATCAAGGCGATGGTTACCAGCTCACAAAGTGACGACTGCACCGCAGTGGTCACTTGCCGGAAGTTGCTCTTTATAGGGCTGTTTGCAGGTTTTGGGTTTAGAGTTTGGGCTTTAAGGTTTGAACAATCAGCAACATGGGACCAAGCTCGGTGCCCCAAACCTCAAAAAAATGAACCCATATAGAGAAAGCACCCGGCCAGATTGTGTCTTTGCCCTTTGATGTGTTTCTGGTTCTGCCGTAGCTTGATCAGTTCTGCGTAGGAGGAGCAGGTGACCTACTTGGGAGTCCTTCCGTAAGGGTACATGTGGCCTCAAAACCCCAAAGGGTCCATGTATCCAACTAGTATATACTCTGGCCTTAATGTAGTCCCTATATAGGTACTTTGGGGCTTGCGTATATACTAATTGGGTACGAGGGAACACCATAACGGGAGTAGAAGTCTTTGCTATGCAGATACATGGACCCTGAGGGCCTGTTCCGTGCAAAGTAGGTGGAGGATGCAGTCGGTCATTTGTGGCATGAGTGGCTGAATTCATCACACACAAGAACTCGGGCTTGACATGTTCTTTGGGTTTTGAAGGCAGAAGTTGTTGGCCTCTCTAGTCTTTACCACATGCATTGCCATGGCGTAGGCTCTAGAGTATAAGCGTCGAGTTCTTGCTTTGCCAGCTGCCGCTGCCGGATCCGGAGAAGATCTCATCGCCGGAGCTTGCTTCATTCCTGCTGAAGTCTGCCGTAACCCGTGGATCCGAAAACCTACCGTTCTCAGGGGTATATGCCCTAAACCCTAAACCCTCATATGCCCTATAAGTAGGGGTCATAACCCCACTATTTTGTAGAGTGCTGGGGATAACTACAGGAAAGCCTAAGGGCTCCTCCTGGGTTCTTGTATTGAGAGTCCAAACCCAAAGGGTCCTAGGTACTATTATGGGGGATACTTACACAGTAATCATGATTCCTCAGCAGGGTAGGGCTGAGAAACAAGCTAGAAACTGAGTCGAAACCCTAGATATTGCCATATAACCATATAGGTCCTTTGGACCGTTTTGGAAACCTTAGCCCCAACCCAACCCCGCCAGAAGCGCGCGCTCAAGAGCTTGACACGATGCCTGACGAAAGGTTGCCATGACATACTAATCCCCTCGGGCTCCAGTTGCCTGTTAGTTACCTGATTATTCCCGCAAACATTCTAAAGCAAAGGAGCAACCCACTGTTTAGGTAACGGCAGCCCTGGAGAAAGTAGTTTGCAGCACGAGTTGTATTGAGCGTCTTCAGAAATCCCTGCGGGCTTTCTAGATGGTCATGTTTGGATGGGAGCTGCTTTGTCAGGCGAAGAGGCTGGCGACGTCGACTATGATTTGAGAAACCCAGAAGACCTCCTTAACTTCCTGATCGATGCCAACATACGGCTGGTAAGGCTTAGCTACCTGCTGGAGCTCAACGCTGCTGGGCGTCTTTGGCCACGGTGCCAAGAGGCAGAGGAGCCGGGCTTAGTGAAGTGCCACGAGATCGAGTGCCTGAAAAGGGCAGACTATGTCGTTGATGAGAAGCACTTTCCCCCAGTGTGCGGAGGGGCTTTTGTAAGACAGCGCAGAGATACTGCAGCGGGAGAAGGACGAGTTGTCAGAATATATTCCGTGTCTCATTGCTGGGAGGCGCAGCAACATCCAGACCCCTTTTGTTTTCAAGCACACTTGCTCTTGTAGTGGTTCAGAGAAACCAAAGATTTCTCTGCGTTTGGAAAAAACGACCCGGATCAATGTTGGCTGTTCATCGACTTTATCTCCCTGCCTCAGTACAAACGTACCGAACAAGAAGAGCAACAGTTTCGCAATGCCATGAGCTCGATGCATTTGCTCTACTCGCATGCAGCTATTTACCACGTGATCCGCCTGGAGAAAATTATGTCACAGATCTTTGCAACGAGATTTCATCGAGATCTATTGCGAGACAACCAACAAGGTCGAGCTCCGTCCATTTGCGGAGTTGGTGATGAACGACACGCTGTACTTCCAACGAGGATGGTGCGTTGCCGAAACTCAGTGGATGTGCACACGATCTGTCAGTTGGGAACGCTCGCCCATGACACCCGCCATGTTTCAAGAGCGTGTCATTCGTGGAATGGAGGGGATCCAGATGGGCTCATCTTGATATTCACCCACCGAAGCGATCTGGAGTCCGTGGTGCAACTGCAAGAAAAAGTATTTCGCAAGCACGCGCAGCAGAAAACGGTACTGTATCTGTATAACCTGCCCGATTCAGAACTGCAAGTGCTCGCCGAGACATTGCCATCGCTGGTGAGCCTGCAGGTTCTCATTGTCCAGGATGTGGAGCAGGAGCACGAAAGAGCAAACTTACGCCAATCTCTTGCAGCGCTGGAGGCATCTATGCCAAAGTGCAAAGAGCTGTTCTATGCGAATGCCTTTGGAGTTGATCTCCTTCTTTTGGGGGACCCTCCCCCCCAATCTCCGCCTGGTGTAGTGCTTCAGATTACAATGTCATCGAGAGCCACTTCGTAACAGATTCATGGCAGAGCTTTGCACGGAAGGAAACATGCGAACTACCTTCCCGTGAGTTGAGACTTATTGCAGCGGTAGCAACGCGCGGCTTTAAACTCCTAAGGCCCGAAACAGCCCAAAGTTTGGCTTAAAGACCATAACCCGTACGTAAGCCGTAAGTTGCGATTCCTAGAGCCTCAAGGTGATCTGTGAAACCCTTATAATTACTAGGGTTTATGTTTAAGGGAATCTTTGGATTAGGAGTGGTTCTGGCAGGACAAGGATTCACAAGCAAGGCTTGCTCCGGAACTATTGTTTCAGACATGTTCAGAGGGATCATGTGTCAACAAGTTCCGGATTCTTCGATCTGAGAGTCTTTTGTCATGGGTTTGTCCTTTGCTCCATAAACCCGGAACCTTGCGTACAACAAGCACTGCAACCTAAACGGACCTAAACCATGTATGATGCCTCTATAAGCTCTATTATGTAACCCGCTCCCCCCAAACGATTTATGAAGTCCTGAATCGCTCAAGCCCGGAACTCAGAACCCTAATCCCAAAGCTCCAGCACTTTGTCCGGGCAGTGGGTTGCATGTGGGTAGCTCTCTAAATTAGGGTCCATTTTAAAGGTACCTCTTTATAAGGGTGCCGTACGAGGGGGACCCTAAAAGGTTTGAGAACTGCCCATGTGGTTTCGAAGATGCAGATGGTGGGTTTCGTCAACTGTGCCGATTGTTCTGCTAGTTCTCTTCAAGGTCACAGGGGGATTTATGTAAGAGCTCGGTATTGTCTTGAAGAAACCGCAGTCCTGGCTGAAATCAAATCGCTTCCTTAGCGTTGCGTTGAGGTTTCGAGCTCGGGATGTTGGGTCGGTGGAATGGTTTAGGGCTTGGTGCTCTGGGTTCGTATTTGCTTCTTCGACTGTCAACAGAGAATTTCGTTTATGACTTCTGACATGCGTCCACTGCGCGACGTAGCCCGGGGACAAATGCAGAGATACTCCGGAAAGAACATGCTGCAATCTTGCTGGGTCGTACCGACGAAAGCTCCATGGTAATCTTTGCCTGAGGTTCATTGCTTATAGGCTCTGGTTCACGGTACCTTGAGGCCTGTATTACATGAGGTTAGAGAGCTTTTTCACACTCATGCTACTGTAAGTTTACATCGTAGAATGTAACCTGGAGGGAATAATATATACTTTTGCCTGAATGTAGTCCCTACCCCGAAGGCGTGAAGGAATGTCAGACAAGTATTAGCTGGCCAGAAATCTGGAATCCTATCCTCGAAACCCTGTACCTTGAACGCGCATGCCTGCACCCTTAACCCTAAAACCCCACACCCTCAACCCCAAATCCTGCACCCTCAACCCTCAAACCCAAAACCCCAAATCCTCAACTCCTAAACCCTCAACCCTCGACCCCAACTCCTCAGCTTCAAACCCCACAGCCCCTAAAGCCCCGAGCCAAGGTGGGGCAAGCAGACACGGCGACTGGTGGTGCTCCCGGCTGTCCCGCAGCGTGCTGAGCGTTCGGTGTGGCTTTCACAATAGGGGCCTCAACAATAGAAGGGGGTTTTCTGGAGAAAGCAATGTGCCATTAGCGCAGGCATATGTCTCAATAAACCGATACATTTACCTGTTTGAAAGTTACCTTGGTTACTCTGGGCCGGATACATTCGAGTGTATTTACCATAAGGAACCCTATAGGAGTGTTGTTGGTAAAAAATCCCGGCCTGCGTAATCTATAGTTGTATAGCAGGCTCAAACATTCCCTCTCTCTTAAAGGGTACCTGGTTTCTTCATAGCAGATCGAAGCATAAAACAGCAAGGTACCCTTAGAAAGGGGTTGGGCCTGGTGGGCAACCCTCCAGATCTCTAGGTGGTTAAGGGTTTGTTTCCGACCTGTGGTGAGCCATCATGTTGAGTGTATGATGTCCCTATGCGTGCAGGTGTCAGTTACAGTTTCTGGAGGGCGGAGGATCTCGTCAACAGGAAGCAACAATGATGCAAAGGATACCCAGATCTTCCAAAGTCCCTTAATTCAGGAATATACCTTTAAGCCTTCAATCATATCAGTAGTCCTACTAGTACTATAATGTAAGTTATGCTCCCTAATTACGAGATATTGGAAGATCTGGGTACTCAGTATTCGCAAGCTTGAAACAGCTGCATGGTTAGAGCGGCCTTTGCCTCAGATTTGCAATACCCTAAGGTCCATGTACCCAAATAGTATATACTTAAGCCACAAACTACCTATATAGGGACTACGTTCAGGCCAAAGTATATACTATTTGGATACGTGCACCCTTTGGGATAGTTTCTCGTCGACCCGAAGCCATAAAAAACATGCGTATGGCCTTGAACCCTGAAGTTGAGAAATCCCAAAACGCCATACCGCAAAACCAGCTCAGAACACCGAGGAACTTCTTCTGGCGGAAGTTCAAGATCAAGCAGCTCGGCTCCGGAGTGTCCCAATAGGTCCCCCCCCTTAAACCGTAAACCAAATTCCTCACGTCTTAGGGTTTAGGGTACTCATCAAAGGGTCCTAGGTACTGTTATCGGCGATACTCCTAATGTAGAAACCCTACGCTCTAAAATGTAAGTATTTCGAATCCTTTTCATCCGCAACTAAATCTGCCAGGGGGCCCTTTTTGCCTTGTTGTGGTCTTACGCTCCAAAACAATGCTACGCAACACGTGTCAGGGAGGCCTTGCTATTCCTAGGTCCTAGGCTGCTGAGGGTCCCAGCAAGAAGGACCACTACATACCACGACGTAAGTCCCACAGTTCAGAGTAACCGGGGATTCTTGGATTTTGCCGATCAGCTGTATGAAAAATATGACCATGAGGTGGCATCCACAATTGACATACATATGTATATCTATATCTATATCTATATCTATATCTATATCTATATCTATACCCATATCTATATCTATATCCATATCTATATCTATATCTATATCTATATCTATATATATATATATATGTGGTAAATTATGTATAGATATATGTATGTATACATATATATATATATATATATATGTGTGTGTATATATATATATATACATGTATATGTACGTAAGTATGTAAGAAAACTAATGTGATGTAATAGGATATTCACAATACAACATTACTTACTAGCATATAATACAGTAAGGCATAATACAGTATAACGGACTTTGGCTTAATAGAACAGATTACAACGTACACATTGTAGATCTTCAGACTTCCGTTGCTCTGCCCAAGGCCCAAGCCCGCAGCTGACAGTCTTTGCATGATTTTTGTTTTCGGGGGGCCTTACGTATCGCCTCCAGGGCAAGTTTCATTGTGTTATAGGGTTGAGGGTTTTAGGATGGAGGGTTCAGGGGTTCAGGGTTTAGGGTTTCTTGCGTTTTTGTTGAGGGCCTTAGGGCCCGGACAACAAGATGGGGTGAGCTCAAACAGGAACCTTAACCCTAAACGGTACACCCCAAACCCTCTACATTGGAGACTAGCCCTGAGGGTCTATATTGGCGACTAGCCCTGAGGGTCCAAGTACGCAAATAGTATATACTCTGGCATATGTAAGTACTTTAGGGCCAAAGGATATACTAAAAGGGTACATGGACCCTTATACCCTAAACCCTTTGTAGAACCCTTATGGCAACCCTTGAAGGAACCCTTAAAGGATCCCTATAATATGGGTACATGGACCCTTCGGGTAAAGGGTAGGCTCTTGCCAGCCACCGGGCCATCCGCCCGCTGAAGATGCCCAGGTTCAAGCGCAGACACGGCGTCAAGCGGCTTGCCTGTTCCCAGCGGGTCCAAATACCAAGATAGTACTTGGAGGATCGTGGGACATAGTAAGTAAGGTGATAAGTACCTTAATTGGGGTTGTAAGTAGTTCTAAGTATAGTTATAACTATAGTTACCCTAATAATAACCCTAGTTACTAAGTCCCATGATCCTTTAAGTAGGGGCCTGCAGATCCCAAAACCTACTGTTTTAAGGGGTATTCATTCTAGTTAAGGGGTCATAACCTACTATTTTGTCGGGTTTGGGATGCTGGTAGATGTTTGGGCCCCGGACGACTGGACTATACCATAGTAGACAAGTACATGGACCCTTTCGGTTTGGGATTGTGTTTGGAGATAGGAGTCGGTTCACTTGGAGGATCGGGGACTATGCAAGCACATACTCTTCATCGGTTGGGCCCGAAACCCTGAACCCTAAACCGTCTAAACTCTCAAACTTCCCAGCCTCTAAAGACAATGAGCCGAACCCCAAAATGCCTCAACCAACAAACCAAAACCGAACACACACTATGTCACAAGCAGGTGTTTGCTGTCGTTCATTGCTCTCGCTACATGATTGCAAACTGGTAGTGTTTGTGACACTGCAGAAGCTGTTTCTTCTGCACGATACACGACTCATTCACTGCTATGTCGTTTGTGGTAGTGAACCTCAAGCTCTGCAGGAAGCGCGAGCGGGTGAACTACATCGGCAATATCAAGCCATTCCTGTGGCGCGCGGCGCGAGTCCGCCAGCCTCCACCACTGTCTCCTGCTTTTCCAGAGAGAGAGGGAGAGAGAGAGAAGTCTCCAAACCCGTCAGAGGGTCCAACGTATCTATATCGTAGAATGTAGGGTTTCTATGTTAGGGATTACGGTTATGGTTTGGGGAAGTATCCCCCATAACAGCACCTAGGACCCTTTGGGATTTAAGATGCTTTCGATTCATAAGCCCAAGACCACAATCCCCATCCCTCTGTAGCACCCTGTCATCTTCCTAAGGCTCGTACATCAAGAGGACGGCGGCATTGCAGAGGATCAGCTCAAAGCACGGCCCTACTTCTTCCGTGGTGTCTCACACTGGCTCCTTGTACTGCGAAATGTTTTTTTGGGTGTCTGTAGGCTTGACCTCTCAGGTTCAAAAAGATCCATATATACTAATTACTCTTATGCAATCAAGTCCTAAAGACCATCCGCATCATGGTTTTGGGGACCGGGGACCTAATTGGTGTTATAGAATCTGCACCATCTGGGTTCTGAGGTGCAGAGTCCAAGGTCCAAGCTTGCGTTTGGGCATCGAATCAAGTCTTAGCCAGGGTTCAAGCATGGATGACCCCACACTGCAAGAACAAAGTCCAACGTGCCGTTACTTTTCGAGCAAATTCCTAAACCCAAGAACTTAACTCTTAAGCCCTAATACTAAACACCCGAAACCCTCTAAATCCTGAATCTAACCCCCAAAGCCTACAACTTAGATCGCAAGCCTGAGCCCTATAAGCTTTAAACGCTAAGGCCCAGACCTCCCATTGTGACAGCCGACATGCACCGTCCCAAACAAACTGTCTCCGAGTGATTTCCGCAAATGCATGCCTTGGATGCCATTCCTTGCTTTGGCTTCTTGGTACGGAAACTACGACTTTCCCCTAAACCCACTCAACCCAATCTTTGATCCCGATACTTTAGAACCTAAACCCGAAGCCCTGAACCCTGAGCTATCAACAGGAAGCAGGTAGCCAAACGACAAAGCGAACCTTCAACTGAGGGTCTAGTCTGTGTAGCATGAACACATACTAGTAGTATGTTGCACGACGTAAGTGCATATATGTGTGTATATATATATATAGATATGTATATACACGTGTAGATATGTATGCATGTATGTATCTAGATGTATATGTTTATATATACACATACGTGTAGATTATATATATATTTTCATTTTTCATTTCGAGGCATTCAGAGGTGTACGCGGCACTAATTAAGATTGCACAGTAGCCCTCATACTCACGAACACTTGTCCGTAGGGGCTCTTCCAGAAGCTGGGGTCCGATGCTATGCAGCTGATCTGTCCTGTACTCGCCCGCTGCCACAGCCTTAGAACCTTTCTGGGCAAAAAAGCTAAGGGCTCATCGAGCGCGGCAAGGTCAACGTCTACGCCACTAGAATGGTCATTCCTTGCTTCCCTCGACCAATCCAGGTGGTATGGCTTCGACGGTGGGGTCACGCACTCGACTCGGCAAGCTTGGAGTAGATCATCCCAGGCATGCCCTTCGCCCTTGGTGAAATTGGCCAACGAGGTCTCTGTCTCGATCTCCATCTGTTCGCTCGCCGCAAACGGAGTAACCCAGACAGCAGGCTCTCGAAGTGCTGCTCTAACAACCTCGAACACATCCTGGGGCCATGGGTCATTGACATCACTGGCCCACAACTTATCTACCTCCACAGCAATGAACTCAAGGATCATCAGCTCCTCCTCCAGGTAGAGTGGGGCTCCAGCTAGTGCCTCCAGAGCGGCGTCCCGAACCTGCTGTGTCGTCCGCCATCCCTTCTCTTCCACGAGGTCACCACAAAGCTTTCGGTAGACTTGTCTTTGGGGGATCGTCCATACCACAGCATCGTATCGAGGCACCTCGCCAACACCAGGCTTTGAGGGTGCCAGGTTGAACTCCTCCACAAACCTTGCCCTGGCTTGGCGGCTCCCGTGGCCTGGAAGAACAGCATCAACCGTCTGTCCTCCTGCACGTAGTGCTCGGACACACTTGTCGTTGTCGCGGAGGTGGATAGCCAATCGGGCCGTCGTACGCAGGTCCTTGCCGCAAGCCTTGCATTTCGTGCCGACGACACATTGTCTGTATTCCGCCACTCGTTGATGTACCTTGAAGAGGTGAGCTCCAAGACCGCCCTTAGTACGGAATTGACGGGAACACATCCTGCAGCTCCATACACTGTGCATCTGGCTTCCACCAGGTAGTGCACGGCTTGCCATTTTGTACAGTCCCCAAAGGCCCACCATCACCACATCTTCCTGCATCTGCTGTTCATGCCGGCGTTGGAGGTGTTTCTTGACCCTGTACTTAAACTGCGCGCCATGCTCCGCCAAATAGGCAATCCAGTTGGCCCACTCCGCCGCCCGCGGCCTTGGCAAATCTGGATATGCATCCGCAATCAAGCTCAGGTCATTGCGCACCGTCTCTAACCAGCCCTGCTCTTGCTGTAGCACCGCCCACAGAGCTGATGGACCTCCTGTAGCCATAGAAACTAAAAGGCTCATACGACTCTTGACCGCCTGAAGTTCGAGGCTCCAGCTGCCTGTGGCCAAATGCACGATCGGGCCCGGAATCTTGCAACCTCGGTGTCCTCCCACTTCGGCTGTCAAGAGCCTCCTCAAAACTCTCGTATAACCACCGGAGAGCTTCTTCCAGGCTTCTCCCTTCGGTATCCAGATGGCCAGGTTGTAGAACACCGCGAGGACCGCCGAGTGGAAGAGTTTGGCCCTCGTTGCCCTCGGCAACTTTTGGTTTCCAAACAAAAGCCGTTTGCCCTCTTCAAAGGCATTTCCCGCCAGAGCCAGCCTTTTACGCATTTCCGGTTTCATGGTGCATCCCATGTCCAGAAGGCCACCCAAATGAGTATATTGGGGGGCTACCGCCAGCTCAAGATCCATGTCCGGGAGTTGCAGCGTTGAGCGGCCATGACCAAAGAACACCTGCTTTGCCCGGGCGGTGCCTTTCCCATTCATGGACACCATCAAAGTGGTCTTCCCCCTTTTCAGGTTCGGCTGCAGGCCGAAAGCCTGGCACGTCGAAATGGTGATCGCTGAAATGCGGCGTGCCTTCCGGAGCATCCTTGCGGGGTCCGCATCATCAAAGGGTATCGCTGTGTCGTCCGCCCAAGAGGCATCACGGACAACCACCTCACTGCCCATACAGGCTTCACCAAATGGTCCAGCCTCCGGGTCATACCCAATTTCACTGAGCAAGTCCTCCCCATAGGCCACTTCGAAGATGCGGCCCAGGACTCGACTGTATATGAAAGCGAAGATCGCGTCAGCGAACGATTCACCCGGTCGGCTTCCAGCATATGTGGATGCCAGCCACCGGCCCCCCGTGTGCTTGGTGATGCACCATGTCCGGTGGTGGAGATCACACACCATGGCTCTGAGGGCATCGGTGGTTCCAGCCTGTTTCATGACTCCGCCGCTGCGAATGAGCTCCCAAAGGTTGGCCATTTCCTCTGGGTCCAGGTTGAATCTTCGCATCACCTTGGCCACTGTTTCATCCAACCTGATATCCCCCATTGCTGCTTCACGAAGGACGGTGTAATAGGCAGCAGCAGTATCGAGGAAAAGGATGCCGGCCGATCTGGATCTAGCTCGGCATCGGCGGAGGTGACTGAGGATGAAGAGCGTGGCATACGTGATAGGTGCCCTCGCCTTGCTGCCAAGGTGTAACTCATGAAGTTCGCGTTGCAACTGTTCTCCCGTTTTGTTACGGAGAAGGCGGTGGTATGCCTTGCCGAGAACGCTCGACACAAAGAGTGCCCTATGGTTCGCCGGGTTGCTAGCTTCGCCACTGCCCTTGTAGGCCGAGTACAGGATGCCTCCTCGCCATTGCACCGGTTGTTGGAGCCCTAGCGCAGCCTTCAACATAAGTGGCTGCACCATCGCCGCCGCAGCCGCTGGTGCTGCCGCCAGGGCTTCCCCCGGTATCATATCCAATCCCGTTGCTTTTCCACGAGGGGCGATTCTCATCATGGACTCGATCTCTGCCAGTGTCGGCAAGTCCTCGACAGCCCATTGAACATGACCACCAAGGGAGCTCGCAATGTCTTTTTCCTTGAGGAAATCTTCGACCGCCATAATAGTTCCGCACTCCTGTTGGCCAAAGTGGCGTAACCAGATCGCGTCATGGTCCGCCGGCGTCTTCGCCAATTCTCCGTTGTGGTCGCGAAGTGCCGGTAGGGGTTGCCGACCTCCACGTTTTTGACGACCTCCAACTCCAAGACGCTTGGCATTCTGCAGGAGTTGGGTGACAGATTGAGGGCCCCCTTCAAAGAAGGATTGCAAGTACTTCGCCTTGCTGGCGTGGACCGCCTTCTTGATGCGCCCGGTGACGAATCCGACTGCGCTGGACGCCAATTGATATAGCAGGCCTTCCTTAACAACCGCCGCTTCGATCGTCACTTCCACCCGACCGGCCCATTGAGCAAATGCTAGGCCTATCAATCGGCCCCATAGACCTCGGCGGTGCCCGACCTGCTGCTTGAATCGAAGTTTCTGGGTTCGCCACCCCCAGATCTCCTCCGTAATGTACACCGCCTTCGGGCCCTGGTTGTCGACCGAGAAGTGGGTCTCCAGGAACTCCGTGATATAACTCTGCATGTGCTTGCAATGTTCATCCACATGGCACCACCACGGCGGGGTTTGGTAGGCCCTCCATGCTTTTTGGATCATCTCTTTGCCCTCGGACGTCATCATTTTACCACGGTCATACGTGGCTCTCTTGAGTCTCGGTTGGGCACTAGCACCTTGCAGCTGGCCCCAGATCTCAAGTGCTACAGGCCAGTGATCGTCCTTGGCCGAGGCTAAGTCGATCTCCTCTTCGACCCAGCTGTTGGCACCAGCCACATATGCTACTCCTCCGATCGCCAGGAAGTCTATCCGATGAAGGTTTCCAGTGGCGTGTCTGAAGGTGGCATTGCGACCTGTATGCATTCCCTGGCATGTTCCAGGAAGCCATAGGCCGATTCGTTGCAAGTGCTCGACAAACTGTCGGCCTGCCTCATCATCCTCCCCATACTCCAGGGCTCCTGTCACCTCAGCATAGTTTGGAGGCGGTCTGCCATTTGCGTCGCAGCCACCAATGATGAGGTCGACACGGCCAGCATTTCGGACATACTGTTCGAGTCGTCGCAGGAATGCACCCCGTTCCTCCGATCTGGCTGCATGGGGAACGTGGGCGGAGATGAGCAGCATTCTGAACTTCCCCTGCACAAACTCGACGATAAGGAGTCGCGGATCGCTGTGGGCGATACTGATTGTGTCGGGTCGTGGACGAACAACCTCTCCACCGAGATTCAACATCCCCAGATCCTTGTGCAGCCAAATTGCTGTACCCCAGTGGCTGCTCGCAGGCGAGGAGAGCCTAACGTAGTTCTTGCTTTCAGTGCGCCCTTCAGGTTCCTTGGTCTCCTGGAAGAACAATATCTGGTAGCCTGCAGCAGAGTATTGTTCATCAAGGTAGGCGTGACAGCCCTTGAAACCTTGCACATTTGTGGAGGCACAGCGACATGTAAACCAGTCGGCTTGTCGGCTGGCATCTCCTCCCATGACCGGGATGATATCAACCGGTTGGATCGGGCTGCTTTGCGGCTGATGTCCCGACTGGACAACCATCCATCTGCCAGCCCTGATGGGGGCTGCACATCCCTGTTCCCGCTCCCAAAGCGCATGCAGCCATTCCATCTCGAGGGCCAGAAAGGCCTCACAGTTGGCTGCAGGGACACCTGGAATTCCATCCGCATCCGCGGCACTTCGCTTCGCAACCACATCCACAAGTTCATTCCATTCCTGGCCAACATGAGCTCTCGTGTATTCAAGAGTCAGGTGGTTGTCGAGCAATCCGCGAACAAAGGTCTCCAAGTGTCGTGTGCGCACTCCAAACTCGTTGGGTGGTCGCCAGGTGCCATCCGCTCCGAAGCCTGCTGCCTGGCAGTCAAAGTAGATCCTTGCCATTTCCAATGGCAGACTGGCTCGACTTTGCCCCAACCATAAAAGAGCTGCAGCAATGGCGATTTGCTCAGCTTTGAGGGCTGGCGGGGCAACAAGCTTCCACAGGTCCTCATTGTCGTAGAGGATGGGGCCTCCAAAGACCCCGAGTAGCGCAAGTAGGCCCGCGCATCTGATGAGGACCGCAACTCCAAACCCACTACGCTTTGTGTCCGGGAAATGGGAGCCATCGACATAGATTTCCGCTTCAAGACGATTGTCAGGAGTCTTGACCATCAGCACCTGGCTCCAATGCACCAGATCCTTCAGGGCCTCAATGGTGCTGGGCTTCAGAGGTAGGCCCTGGTGACGAAAGGCCATCCAGTCAGCCGGCCACGGGTGCAGCATTTGGGAGATAAGCTCCGGCGAGTGGGGCATCTCAATCAAGTCTTCATCGATGTAGAAGTTCGCTGGCGGGACAAGTTCACTCAGCTCCAAGGTTTGGCCGAGGCTGGCATCCTCATCTGGTCGCTCACTGCCTCTCCGGGGTGATCTGGACTGCTCCCGTACCGGCTGTGGCGGCGGGGGGCCAAACGGCCCCGGCCCTCTCGGCGGCGAGCCTCCCGATAAGTCCGAAGAGTCTGGGAACGCATCCTCTGTGGGCGAACTCGACGAAGATTCCTTGCTGGACGATTCCGGGGTCAGGCTGCAGGTTGGCCGAAGGTAGATCCTGATCGTATCACCATCTCTCACATGTAACCAACCCTTCTCCTGAGCTTTACGGCCTCCATCTGCAATGATCGAGTAGCCATCGATGTACTCAACATTGAGCTGTTCCAGCACGTCACCCGGGTGGAAGAGGTGTCCCCGCACCGTGGTCCACCTTGGCCACCTTCCGACTCCGCGCAGGTCAAGGTGGATCACCTGATTTTCTTGCTGTGGCCATTGCTGTTCATCCAGAACCGCAACCAAACTGTGTATTCTCAAACTTTTCCACGCTAAGCTCTCCGGTCTCTCCGTAGGTGCTCGCAACCAGATCTCCTGAGCCTGCTTGGCGAATGCTCTGCACGCTACAGCTTCCGGGGGCTCTGCTTGGGGCCCACGCACTTCGTGCATGTGATACACATCATTGTACTGGAAGAAGACATGCCGGCCGGGGAGGTTGTCGATATGATCCGTGGGCGGGTGCCATCGGCTGGGATCATGTAGTCGTCCCTGTATGTCGGACGCCCAGGAGACAGCCTCATCCTTCGGCATCACCTTGAAGACTCCTCCCAGTTGCGATTCCACTGTAGCAGTGGAGGCCATTGGGCTGGTCGCACCGTATGCGAACACCCCTTCCTGCGAATCATCGGGCAAACCAAGTTCTCGAAGGATGTCATGTCGCCACACACGTCCTCTGTGGTAGAAGGCAAAGATACCCTTGCCAATGTTATGGCCATCAATCACCATCACCGTTCTTTGAGAGAAGTCAATTCAACCCGGCAGAGGCTCAAGAAGATAGCCTGTGTCATCCATTCCTCCGTGGGGAGGTGCCGGGTTGACTCACAGACGAACTCTAAGACACGGTCGTGTTCTAGGGGGAAGGCCATGGCAATGTCAACTGTCTCTGTGACGTAAAACGGAGAGAACACTTGGAAGGACACATGGGTCGTCATCTCCTCTTCTTCATCAATGAAGTGCTCGGGCTCCTCGAGGAGTGCCGCAAGCTCCTCGATAGCATCTCGCGGTGCCCTCGGCATCTCGCGGTCAAAGTGGGCAGGCCCGTCTGCATGAACATTCTCTGGCAGTTGGCCTCCACTATGCAACGGTCGCTGTAATAGCTCTCGCTGCCATGCCCTAGCAAATTGCTCCTCCATCGACTCCTGGCCATTTCTCCAAAGAGTCACATCTGGATCGTCCAAGGTATTCCGGAGGATGCCACGGCCACGTATCGGTGCTTCTCCCCATTCTCCTCCTGCAGCCGCCAACGTCCCCAGGGAGGCAAAGCCAAGGAGCAGATCGGCCCATCGATGTCTCCTGTTCCTCCTTCCCTTTGCCAGCGGCCGGCTCCACCAGATGTGTCCCCATAGAACACCAAGCTGGACCATTAGCAGGACACCAACCAACGAATGGCTGAGGGCCTTCGCCATGCGTTCGATCTCCATTTCTCTCCCTTCCAAAATGGTCAGCGAGAGGTACTTGGAGGGGGAGGCCTGGTAAGCCAAAATGTCGGAGCGATTCGCGAAATCCTCACTCACAGCTCTCTGCTTCTTGTCCACACCATCCTCTTCGTCATCGAGATGGCTGCAATCACAGGCTGCAGCGAGTCGGCTATGGTCGTGGCCTCCCGTGGGGCCGTGCCATTCAAAACTGTTATTCACTGGGGCAGTGTGGTGGGCCATCTGTCCGTTCCCTTCCACACCATTGAGGAAGATGCCCTCGGCGGACGCACCGAAGAAGCCGCCGTACTTGATTTCATATGCCTGGTCATCGAACGGGACAAACCGAAAAAGCCCGTCATATACCCGATGCCAGGAGCCGACGCCTGGACATACTAATCCACCTCCGTCGGCGGCTCGTGCTCTGGCGGGTGGCCCAGGCTCCCAATCACATCCTCTTCGGAGTCGATCTGCACCGGTACCATCTCCGCCTCCACAGCCGCCGCCCTGCTGCTCTCCAGCTTGTCTGCCAGAGTCCTTCTCACCGTAGGCGGAGGGCTGGGTTTGGTGTGCGTCTTGATGGAAACCCTGGGCGGCGTCGCACGCTCCCGTGGTGGCGGCCTTAGCGATGAGGACTCCGCGGGATCGACCGGCCTTCTCATCGACGGAGAGGTAGAGTAGGGGTCCCTCCTGATAGCGCCTTCCAGCCACTCGTCCGCCTCCGTGTGCAAAGCACCCGTCTTGTCCCCTCTCGGTGGGAGCGGCTTGTCCCTGGCCGGAGGCGTCATTGCCAGTACGGTCCTGGCCCTCCGTGGTGGGGTGGCCTCGGCTGCCTCTTTTGTCCCACTCTTTTTCCTGTCGAGGAGGAGCTGGATCAACTTTTGCCTTGTCTCGCCATTGCCGATGTCCTGTCCCTGCAGGGCACCATGTAAGATCGTCGACAGATCTTCCATTTTGGCCGCATCTTCCATGAGGACATCCCACTCGGCCATCGCGTCCGGGTCCGTCGGCTGGTTCTCTTTGTGCTCGATGGCCTGACCCGACAATACCATCTGGATCTCCTCGAGGGCCTCCTCTTGCATCGCCACGTGCTCCGACTTCTCGTTGCCGAGCTTTGTCGTATTGGTGATGAATTTCGCCCTCTCGGTGACAAAGCTCTGTTTGAGCTGCTCCTGGAACTTGTTCCACTTGGCCTTGGCTTCCTCCATCTCCTCGTCGATGCGTCTGAGCCGGACTTCGCAACGACGTAAGTTGTTGACCGCCCGTTGCACGTCCTTTGCCCTGCCACTTCGCTGTGCCACCGTCATGTCGGTCTCCCCGTGGCTGGTGAGGGCGTGGTCGTTCTTGCCCTTCCCTTTGGTCTTGGTGTCCACCTGCATCGCCTCGTAAGTGGGGAAGGCACCATCGTCCACAGCATGTCGCCGTTTGTCTCGGTCCTTGCCACGGCCACCAGACTTTGGTGGGCGAGCCGAGCCAGCTGAGGAGTCCTGCCATCCACAATAGGAGGCGTGGTACTCTTCCCATTCTTTGGCGGTCCATTGCTGTCGCTTGCCCATACGTGCACTGTCCACGTGTTCCCTCGTTTCGCGATACAGCGGGCGACTGTGGTGCCTTTCCAAGAATCCCAAATCCTTGGGTCGTGGCCGAGTGCCAGCTCGTCGTGCAGAATGTATCCGCTTGCGAGCCACAGCACGGAGTCGGCGGCGCCGCCGGTGCCAGGCTGGGGACTTGTCGATGGCTGCAGTGCCGATGGCTGCAGAGCGTGCCTAATTGATTCGGCACTTGGGGCCTGCCGGCTATGGTTGTCCAAACAACCTCGATCCGAGACCCTAGTACCCTTGAGCCAAAATGGCTATGTATGTGTATATATATATATATATATATGCATATGTACATATGGATGTACAGCGACGGTGTAGATAACGACAAAGTCTTTATGCACTTGGCCTCCCGAAGCTTAAGTTGGAAGCAGAGGCTCTTTCCAAGCCGCCGCGGTGGCTTCCACAGCATGAAGCGCACTTCACGGGGTCAGTGGGTCGGGGTCCTCCGAAACTACCAGCTGCATGAGGCCATTCGGCCGAAGCAGTAGCCGGTAGCCGACCCAAGCATGGAGAGCTTTTGTCTGAGTAGGACCGTGAATGAAAGTTAGCAGAATAGAAGCATCTTGGGTACCCTAGGCAGAGTTGTGAATGAGAGCTTCCACCGGCAGTCAGACAATCTCGGGTGCACGTAGACACGAAGTTTGATGGGAGTTTCCGAAAATTACGAGTACATTATTTCTACTATCTCGGGTACTATATCAGGGCCCCCCCTATTTTCGGAAATTCCCATGTGCTCCAGCGACAGCAGTCTTGCCTGCATCGAAGAGAAAATGCACGCGTCCGACCAGGCTGCTGTTTACGGTTTTAGGGTTTCGGGGTTCAGGGCTTAGGGGTTTAAAGGGTTTAGGGCCTAGGGTTTAGAGGTCTAGGGGTTAGGTTTTACCCTGGAGTGGCAGCTGTGCTACTGAAGAGGCCTTAACAATCAGAATAGGTTTTGGGGGTCCTTTATAGCAACTTATAATAAGGCACCCTAAGGAATGATATTGCAATTATTTCGGCTTCTTCACACTGGTACGATCATGGAGGACCATCAGGTGCCAAGAGGTCTCGGGGTCCCTTCTTCATGATACCTCCTCAGCTCCTGTCTTTGCAGGGCTCATAGCGAATTCGAATTTCACTAAGCAATAACACCTAAACCCTCAATCAGGTTGAACTCTGTATCCGAATACTCTCAAACCTCAACATACCTGAAGCCTATACCGATACCCCATACCATGACTTGTAGTTCCGCAGGAGCTGCGCCGGGCGGAGACTGTACCTGAGGAAGCCGAGTTTGGGCACATTGAGGCTATTCCTGACGGTGGGTCGGTGCTGTCAGGGGCGATTGATGGCGGGTGCTTTGTTGTGAAAGAACCTTTTCCGCAAATTGAGGGCTAGTGACGAAAAGGTCTACAAGTTTTGAGGGGCTCGGGTTGTGGGTCTGTAGCTCCTGGAGCTATGCGGATTCTAAACCTTGAACGAGCCATGTTGGTGCTCTTTTTCTGAGCACTTGCTGCACAACCTTTGGCGAACAACAATCGGGCTTTCCAAATCATGAACGCAGACCCTGCAGGTGTGCGATGGAATGCAGACCTGCAGGTGTGGGATGGTTCACTATCCCCGGACGTATATAATGAGGATCAAAACTGAGATTCTCACGGTTGGTGATACAAATCCTGCATTACCTTAAAGACCCTAAACTACGGGAATGATGGTATATTCCTTATTATGGGTAATGCAGGATTTATGTCATCAACCGTCATTGTTAAAAGAAGACAGGCGCTGACAAAGCCAGGCTTTATTGATGGGGGTCTACATTAGACCCTCAGATTAAGGCACCGCAGGTGACATGAATCCCTACTATTTGTTCGCGGCAATAGTGTCGTAAGGTCGAGGTGATCGCACCATGAACCGTACTTATAGTCTCCATTGTAGTTCCTGTTTTTTGGTTAACCAAAATCTCTATTTTAGGATCCTAACCATAAAACTGGTTAACCAAAAAAAGGAACTACAATGGAGACTCTAGTCAACCCTGAGTCTAACGCCCTATGAACCCTAAGCCGCCAACAGCCCCTAATCTGCAAAACACTCCTAAACCCCGTGCCCTAAGGGTGCAGGTATCTCCGTAGGAGGATCTCCTAGCGAAAGCTCTTGGGTTTCTTTGGGATCTCAGAAATCCCACATATTGAGGTTCCCTAAAGTGTCGGGACCCTTAGGGTGTAGACCCTTCTTCCGCCAGGAACTCCGCCGCAAGATGGCCCAACAGGCCGTGTCAGCGTTAGGGTTTAGGGGTTTAGGCCCAGAGACTCCAAAACCCCTTAATTAAGGAATATACTCTAAATTATAATAGGAGCCTTAATATGATTTAAGGTATATTCCTTAATTAAGGGGTTTTGGAAGGTCTGGGGGGTTGAGGCGGCCCGAAATATGAGAATGTTCGGCGAGCTCTTCATCCGTAGACTAACCCTCAACCCTTAGGGCTCGAAACGATGCAGAGAGGGGGCGGGGCGTCTATGAGGGTTCTATAGAATGTATGTGCCATTCCATAAACCTGCCAGACTATGACTATACTATAAGACTCTCCTAGGTGCGTCACCCTAGGTTCTCTGTTCGCGAACTTGAAAACAAATATATCAACTCCGGTTTCAAGCCCTGTAAGAGGTACGTAGGTCACCGGTGTTCCCTGACTGTTTAGGGGTTGGGGTTTCCCCAATCACTGCTAACTGCGCAAATCTGGTCGGTTCCAAGCGAAGCACCTACAAGTTGTGAGGTGCTCTCGCAGCCTCGAGCTCTGCGCGAATCCCTCAACCCTCACAGCTCCAAGATTTTCACGAAGCCCATCCATCCCTTCGGCCGTGGACCATACTGCAATGTAGCAACCTCAACGATAAGTATGTTCCACTGTATTATCAAAGCTGCTTCGCAGGAGTTTGCCCCGAAACCGTAAAGGTTAAGCTCGAAACAGTACCTTAGCTTACAGAACCTGGCGTAAAGTCAACCGGAAACTACACTCACTCCTTGGAAAGCGCTAAGCTGCCCTCCAGTGTGAGGCCGCGCACCTCGCAGAACAGGCCCGAGAGGTCACAAGGCCCCCGGAACGCCCGAAGTGTCCTCAAGGTAGGAATCGCTTCACTGTGTTGGGGTTCGGGGTGTGTGAGGGTGTGAGATTCGGGGCCGGAATAAGGGGATACACTTCTTTTTCATCTTCGTCAATCGATTTCGATACCCCAAGTCCGTATTCTAGACAGCAAGGCCGCTACCTTTCCTCGACCCAAAAACCTAGTAGTTGTTGGACGACTCGCAGTGTGGTTAGGACCCCAAAATACGACACCACAGTAACCACAAAACGGTGTCAGGATCTGTGTAGGATGATTTCAGGAATTTGCCTTCTGCTTGAGATCTGAAAGGATCGGAGTCGAGAAGCTGCCACAGCGGGGGGCGGGCAGATGAAGAGCTACTGGAGGGAGAGCCGTTTCCATTCTTTGGGTTTCCAGAACCCCCCAAGTACCCTGTAAAGGGCTCATTAAGAGGTAGCTTGGGGCTACAATAAAGTGTAGTTGGGGGGTCTAAGTTAACCGGTTTCATGGTCAGGATCGTATAAGGTAATTAACCCAAAAAAGTAACGACTACAGTGGAGACTATGGGAGGTTTCCATTCTTTGCAGTCTCAGAAGGTCAGTCTTACTTTATCCATGTTTAGTTCGGCACATGTGCTGAAGTCTGTGTTGGACATGTTCCATGATTTGCGCAGTCAAAGTGGTAGACCTGCACGACAGCCCTGCGCAGCTTTCCAAAAACAGCCCAACATCCCCAAATAAGATTCCTTGTAAGGACTTAGCATGAAGCAGAAAGCCATAATAAGGAAACTGGAACAGGCAGGTTTTACATGGTTCAGATAGGACTTGTAGGGTTTACAGAGGCTAACAGATTCAGGCCATCTCCCCATGTCGTCGGGCAGTCTGAATGTGGAGTGAGGATAACTCGTAAATCTGCGGCAGGTGTGGGGTGCGCATTGACGCTTGGGTTTAGATAGGTTATCTTTATAGGCTATTCCTTTGGGAAGTGCGGCAGTTGAACCCTTGCATTCCCCCCCCCACAGTTGAACTATCATCCAGCCCAAACTAGGTGTGTGAGTCAGTGATATTCCTGCTTCGCTACCTAAAGTGAAAGTTGATGTGTCTGTACACACCCTAGACTACAGACTCCAAAGCAGGCATTATCGTCATAGACTCTTAGGGACCGGCGAACATGGCAGAGGCGATTTTCAGATAGTCTTCAACCTGACACCGATGCGCCGGAGGCCGGTTTCAGTCTCGTTTTAAGGTGCTGTGATTCTGAGAGTTTAGGTTTAGGCTTCAGGGTCTTCAGGCCTCTAGCTCAAGGTTCGACGGCACTGGGTATGTACATGTGTTCATGTGCTGCTTTGTTTTGTCTACATAGATACACGGATCAACCACATATACATATACATATACATGTACATATACTTATACATCTACACATACATATGTATGTATGTATGCATGTATGTGTGCATGGAGGTATGTGTCTATGTATTTATGTATGTATGTATGTATGTATGCATGGATGTATGTATGTATGTATGTAAAGTGATGTACGCAATGCCATGCTATGCTATGTTGTGTTGTATTGTGTGACGTTGTGTGTGTGTGTGTGTTTGTCTGTCTGTCTGTCTGTCTGTCTGTCTGTCTGTCTGTCTGTCTGTCTGTCTGTCTGTCTGTGTGTATGTACGTATGGGTCTATGTATGTATGCAAGTATGTATGTAGATATGCTAGCTGCTAGCACGTTGGAAAGCACAGCAAAGACTTGTGATTGTGCATAGTTTATGGTCAGAGTCAAAGCCGGAAAGTTGGAATGTGCGTTCCGGCGCGCTTGCTCTTGAAACCCAATCTTCCAACGTTCTCGCTTTGACTGTTTCAGGTACCGCCACCATTGTGTAGTCGCATTCGTCAATGACATCCATCATCATCTTCTTCAGCTCGGTCATCAGCATCGTCATCAACGCGTGCATCATGACTATCAGCGCCTTGAGCTTTTGTTGTCGGACATGGGATGTTAGTTCAAAAAGCCTGCAGATTCTGGATATGGTATTTCCAGGGACCGAAACAAAGGTCAGCCTTTAGTTCCCCATGATACCCAGCAAGTAGGTTGAGGGTCTTTAAAACAAGGATCCGACTACTTGGGTTACTATACTAGGGTCCCCTAATTTTCGGAAACTCCCATATTAGACCCTTTCAAAGGCAGGAGACGTCAACCCTTCATTCGGCCCGCTGGTTTCTCCAGGTTCGTTCCGACCCCTCAGGACCCTCGAACCCTGTCTTCAACCCCAAACCCCCCGTAACACTAAACCCTACATGAAACCCAAAACCAAGCCGTCAGAAGCCCTAAACATCAAAGCCTCAAACGCTATTTTGGGTTCCTTATGCCACGGATCCTACTATTTCCCCTCAGGGTCCTAACACTTTAGGGACCCTGAATGTAGGATATC